TAAAGAAAATATTACCAAATTGCAACAAACCTTTAAATGCCACTAACTAGAGAAATCAAACTACCGTTAAAGCCCAGCAGAAGTGGCAGCCTGTAATTTACTTCTCCTTTAAGTTATTTTCATGATGTCAGTATCTTTTTTATTTAGGTTTATAAGTTCTACAAAATAATAAGATAAACAAGAAATACGAAGATACTTTTCCGTTTTGCCGGCGCAAACGATAAAGTAGCCAATAATGGCGCAACTGATGTCAAATGGAATAACCTCGCTGGTAATCTTTTACGCCTCATTTTCAAAACAATTAGCATCCCATTTCTTATCAGATTGATTGTTTTTTTCAATACTGGCATACAATGACATAGAATATTTGCCAGATAGTTCAATTTTATGCCCTAAGCCCATTCGCGGTACATAAGTCAATTAGGATGCAATCACACCGCTCACCCGAAGGCAAAAATATAGAAAAGGTAAAGTCAAGAGTCATGATTTCTAACGAGAATGCACTAGGGAAGTAAAGCAAGCACTCCAGTTTTACATAACTTCTGAGTAAGCTAAGCGTAAGAATTGAAATAAATCTTGCATTTAAACTTGTATTCCAAATTAAGATTTAACTTGAATTTAATGTAAATAATTACTGAGAAAATTAGATTTTTTTAGCGTAGTTTACGTGAGATGAGATCACTTGGGATCATGTGATATCAACCGGCGAATCCGTGAAAGCATAGTAAACTTTGTAATTATGTCTTTTTACAAATTTATTGTCTTTATTTATTGGCTTTTTTACAAAATTTTAAACGATATTAAAATGTTTATGCCTTCAAAATAAAAAATTCTTAGAACTAACAGCTGTTAACGTTTTTTATTTGTATACTGTATGTTGCCACCAAGAAATTCTGCTTGGCGAGACTTGCGCCGGCGAAACGGAAAGGTGCCAATACGAATAAAGTAAGCACCCCAAAATTCAAAACACACATTAAATAAGCATAAAATTAATAAAAAAATAGATTAATAAGAAAAACAAATACAGAACGATGTAAAATCTATATAGAAATCAAAGTAGCAACTAATAAACGTAAATAATTACATTAACTACAAGACACACGAATTATAAGCATATTACATAAATAAATATGCATAATATGTTAGTGGTTTATTACGCGTTTACGTATATATCTTTTGAGTACTATGTTGCCTATAGTAATTTTCTTTCCTTTTTTGTTGCTTTTTACTCACACAATGCATAGAATGGTTCCGAAGTTCAAGTTTTCTTTCTTTTGTTTTCATTAACAGTGGAGCGCTTGAGCGACCCACTTGGGCGTCAAGCACATCAACCAAAATGCACCCCTAATTTTATCTGTCTGAAACACAATGATGCCTAGGATGCTCATGGCCTAAAGGTTTACTGATACATTTTACAAATACGCGTAAGTACAGATATACTCTGCATATTAAAAGTCGAGAATTTAACTGAACGAGTTTGTAACATATTAGTAAAAAACTATAGTTCAAATATACAGATAAATACATACAATGAAAAAAAGTTATATAATGTAAATTATTTTGTGCATACTTCAATGGAATTACATAAATACACAGCAGTAAGGGTGAAATATTGCTATTAATTAAAAGCGAAAAAGTGTACGGAGCAAACTACCTTAAAGTATTTTCTGCTTCCTTTCTGGGTGCCTTCGTGGTGTAATTAGAAGCATACTCGATTCTACAAAGTGGCACCAGGCGGTGGACGATAATTCGCCACCACCAGGATTTGACGAATAGGGTCCCTTAATTCCTAGTCACCCTTTGAAAGGGGGAGTATATAAGATATATTTTCCCTTTTCTCCGCATGTCTTCCTGGTGTAATTGGAAGCATACTCGACGCGTATTGGAGAGGTCTAGAGTTCGAGTCCAGGGAAATGCACATGTTCATGTCATCTGCTTAAAAGAATGCTTAATGACTCAACAGTGCAATTATATCGGAATAGCTAAGTGAATAAGACAGAACAGTAATTTCACGTTATCTATTTGGCAGATAATAATGCACGGTGGGTACTTATATAAAAAGAGCAGCTATGAATTAAATGATGGTTTTGCTATACATTTTGATAAACACAAAAGGAGTAAATTTAGGAATGTGTATATGCGACACATTGGGATTAAATAGGAGAACACCTACTCCAAAAATAGCAACACAAAATTGTAGCAGCAAAAATGTAACAGATACTGCATGGTCAATGAGATGATGTAAATAAGAGGACAAATAAATGCACAAATGTATAAATGATATAACAAATAAAAGACAGGAAAGTCTCATCAAATGTTGCCAAAGAATCTAACATATACTGCATAGTAAATGAGTTAGTATCTGGCAATTAAGGCACATTTACATACATATTTAAGAGAGAAGGAAAAAATAATTTAACCCAGAATGTTGGAAACGGAATTAGCTATGCATGTTCAATGGCAGTTCACTATTAAATGCATATGCAGGTAAACGTTTCATGCACCATGTTAAAATTCGACATTTTTACCGGCAAAAGCTTCAGTTTACTTTTTTTATCCTTTTCTCGTGTTTAATATTTTTCTTATCTCGTGTGTTATTAACATAAAACATAATAATTTGTATGTTATTTTTACGTTTGTCCTTGCACATTTGACTATTTAGTATATATGATGAGGTTTTACTTATGCTAGGAAATTCGTTTTGCTGACACGTTAAAACTAATTCGTTCTCCAATAACCTGACCACTAAAAAAAAAAAAAAAACCACCTTTTTCGCAACTTCAGAAGTCTTTTTTTTTTTTTTTTTATTTTTTTTTTTTTTTATTAACAGCTCCATTCACCATCTCTTTTGAACATTTTATTCCTTAGCAGAATGAAGAAAGCTTAAGGAACATGAAATCCAACTCTTCTTTTCCAAACTTTATTTTCTGTAACTCATTAAAATAGAGAAAACAAAATCCAGCACCTTGAGTCTTATTATGTCCGAGATTTTAGTCATTACAATGTTTTCCCTAAAAGGAGGAAAAAACTGGTGACTTGTGAAAATATCACAAATTGCAATTTCGTAACGAGCTCTTTAGTGTCTAAAAAACCAGCTTCTTTCTGAAATACAGCGTTGTATATTTTGTGCAGATTCCTAAGCACAATAATGATTCACTGTTTGGAAAATAAATAATGGTGCGAAAGAAAAAGCATATTTTAGTTTCAAAACTATAGGATGTAAGAAGTCATGGCTTACTTACATTAATTTCACATCTGCAGAAATATCGTTTTTAATAAGAAGGTTTATGAAATGTTCTTTGACACTAATTAAATAGTGCCTCAGTGTGTGAAAATTCATTACATAAAATTTAAATTCCAACTAAATACTCTAACCTTTTAATGCAGTAAATTAAATAATGATTGATTATTTTGCTCTAAACTCGAAAAAAGTAACAAATAACAAACAAGCAAATTATGTTGTGAATACGTTTAATAATAAAAAGAAATGGAACACTACTAAATCTGCTCTTCCACTAAAGCTTTGATTAGAAAATATCAAGGAAAGCATATCAGTTATTATTTAATACATGAATATCCAATACATGAATGCAGCACAATCCGCACTATAGCTTCTTTATATGTGTTATTTATAAGTAGGATTAATTTGTTTAAACTCTAAATTATGTTCACCCAGCTACCCGACCAAAAAAAATATGGAAGATTTTGATTTTGCCATATGCATTTAATTCTAAATTCTCCCTTTAAGAGTTTTATTACAACATCTTATATTAATACTATTAGCTACATCGGGGAAGAATTACTTTAACTGATTTTACTAATATGGAATTTATGTGTTTAATAAATTTTCGATCTGCGTGAGAGCCAGCTGTGTGTTTCCAATCGCAAAGCATTTCTGGCTTTTCAAGTAAGTATCAACTTGACTTCAACAATTCCTGTCGGATCATTTATAAGGGATCGAAGAAACGACATACATTCTATTAAAAATTAATGACAATAAATATTGAGATTAATTTTTCGGAACATTTAAATGAAGATTCTCTGAAACATTTGAAACATATGGAAACATTCTTTGAAACATTCATTGTCCGAAATTTGAGTACCTATATGTGTAACCTGTGTAATTGAAAGCTAACTTTTGGCTGAATTAACTACTATCTCAGAAGAAAGGCTATAAATAAACCTTTCTATCAGAACTTCAATTTAACAATTTAGATGATTTGAAAAAGGCAAAAGCCAGTTCATGTAAATTAAAAGTTTGTTTTACTGATTATGGGAGTGCACACGAGGGCTAAAAATTTCGAGAACTCATGTCAGACACGGATTCCTAAACACTTTTGTCATGCCTCTCCCCTGCTAAAAATGAAAATCCCCTTCTATAATCATAATACCTACCTATAAGGGTATAAAACATAAAAAAGTATTTTATAAAGAGAGAAGAATATGAATGGTAAAATGAACGCGAAGGATATGCTTGAATATTTTCGACAAGAAATTCAATTCTTCGTTGAACAGAAGAAAGCGCACAACGTAAATCACTTACTAGTGATTTACTTTGCGCGTTACGAAGTACGAAGTCCCTTCTGTTTACATTACGAAGTATACTTCATTTTTATCGCTACAACTGCTGAAAACGCTGTTTCACATAAATAAGGGCTTGGAAACGGTAAGTTATAGTTGCAGTGCTTGCTCTACTATGCTGGGATAAACTCTGAGAAATTTTCTCTAAAATAATTTTATCAATCTTTTTAAAGTCACATTTGGCTGCAGAATCATTTTAATTTCCAAAGTCTCTTGTAGCGTTTCAGGCAACACATATGTGTCACCATAAAGAGGATCCGTCACAAATCTATAAATATTATTATATACGAGTTAGGGAAGTAACGTTTGAATTCATTAGTGAGGTGTTGCAAATGATTTGATATTTTATTCTTAGTGACAGTATTCTTAAAAACCTCCTTAGAGCGCGTTTGGATTTTAAATAATTTGGGGAAGCAAGGTTAATTGCATGCTAAAATTTTACATTCCCAGAGTTTCAGCTTATCAGTACATTCTCTATCATTCAGATGATGAATTATATTCAAATATACACCTTGTAATTTTAAGTTCAATGATTTCAACGAATCCAAAATATCTGATAAGTAAACCAGTACAACTTGAACTCCTGGCTTTCGAAATTCCACATAGAATTCACTTTGATTTTGAATTTCCAAAACCTGAACCATTTTAGTTGGAAATTTGATTAATCTTGCTAACATATTTCCTTTTATGAACCAGCATTCTTCCGTATGAAATAGTAGTGTTTTATATCCTGTTCCCAAATCTTCACAAAGGACCGTAAAAAGGCGAGTATTTAAAGCATTCTTTATAACATGATTGCCAATTCTGATGCATAATTGTAAGACATCGTTGCGTTCACTTGGAAGTTTATTAGGTGCTAACGCTTGACGGTGTATAACACAGAGAATAGGATTAATACTGGGATTATTTTCTCTGACCATCAGTACGAATCCTGAGTGGATCCAAATACTGAAGAAGCGCAATCTGTGCAGAAACCTATCACCATTATAGGAAATGCTTTTGAAGTAGTCGTTAACTTACTATAGAAAATAGTATCTCGTCTTTAATGGTTTCATTTTGTATGTACGGAACGAAAACTAACAGTTGACAGCATTTTGTGACACTTGCACTCTCGAACTATATTGCGAAAAAATTTGATTCTGTCACGGCCTGCTCTAACTGATTTTTTTATGTCTTCGGCCGTATCATAAATACGACTTTCCAAAGTATTGTCAGAAAGCGGTATTCGTGAAATGTTTTGTTTACTTTCTAGTTCAAGAACAATATCAGTTGTTTTCAACAGACAAGGTTTGGCGAAATGTGCCTCCAATAATGTGACTTTTCTTGACCTTTGCGATGAGTAGGGATAACTCATACGCATTTTCGAGCTTTTTTCAGATATCTGAGCAAAGGATCCAGCTTTATCAAGTCTCAGACGTTTCAAACTTTCATCAATTTTTCAGCAAAAACGCCTTCGGATTGTCTTTTAACGCGCAAATGTCCACAAGCATCGCTTCAAACAAGAAGGTCGCATGGCATCACTGCTCAATACTTAGTAACAAATAACACATTTTGGAAAATAAAATAAAATAAAAAATAAAAAAAAAAAACACCAAGTCGGCAGTTTACTTTCGTATCAAAAATACACGCAGTTGCACTGCTTGTGTAATCGATACTGACTGAATTGAGTCCCAACCAAAGAACGTGTATGTACACGTAATATGCATGTTGTTTGGCCCAGCTAAAACTCATCGCAGCGCGGTGGAGTGAAGCGGCTGGTGCTGTTTGCGCGGGCGGTGGCGTACCGCTCGCCCCGTCTGTTCCCCTCTTTAGATGTCGTCGCCCCTTCCTTGTGGGGCAAGCGCCCCTATTTGAAAATCAGTGAAATAAACGGTGCTTTTTACCTCTAAAATCTCCATCTATCTTAAGTAATATTTACTTGTGTCTATTTTCTTAATTCAAACCTTTTATGCAGAAGTTAACTAAAGCATAAAAATTGAGAGGATGAAATCCTAGAAAGTCGTTAGCGAAAATCTAGTAATCTTCTGGAAATCTAATAATGTTATCCAGTGTTTAGGTTAAGTATAATTATAACCTTTTGAAATAACAAAATTAGTATAATTGGAAAGAAAATACAAATTTTTATTTTATGATAATCTTAAAAATATTATAATTCTAATGTGAGTTTTCAGCATTTTAAATGCATTAATAAAAAAACGTAATATTTTTGACACATAAACCCTTTAAAATGAAGTGATTATATACTCTAGCCTCTTCATACGGAAAATCTCTCTGATCAGGGAAATTTCATTGGAAAATAATGTTGTAAGGGATACAGGCATTTACGAATAAAATGTATTTTATGAGAAATAAATAATTTAACTTAATGCTGTTGCATTTGAAAGAATTTATCATAAAGTAAGTCATCCAAGCATAATTAATACGTTTGTATTATGATGTAAGAATGCGTAGTAATAAAAATTCTGTAGATTGTTGATATTTTGCGTAGAAGTTCCTATGCGTAGTGTTATGCGTAGAAGAATATTTAAGGATGCTAAATTGCCGTTCTGATGGGCCTGGCTTCGTATCCCGAAGAAAATTTGGTTTGATTAGGTTTATTTTACTATGGCAAAACCCTCGAGGGCTATATTCAACGGGAAGGGATGCCTTCGTGGAGGGCTGGAGGGCTTTGTAAGGGGAACTGACTCATATACACGTCACACATGGAGAAAACTACGAAAACACCCATGTAGCCAACCCGTTCACGGAATTTGAACCTCTGAACGAGCTATCACTATTCAGCCACTTTACCTTGTGAAGGCATTGATGTTTGTAAGCTCCGGGTGTCTGCACGGCAACGGGGTACTCAAAATACAAGGGGAGTAAAAATATTTTTCGAGAGGTTGCTGGTACTGAAAGAAGGAAAGGATGGAGATTCTCGGACTGTTTTCTTGGCTTTTTTTTCTAAAATCGAATAGGAAGCTTAACAGTTAGCGAGACCCAGTGATATTTAACATACGCAAAGAAATACATAGGTGCCGGCCGTGCTTCAATTAGTAGCTGTACCTGTTATGCATAGAGTCTCATTTACAAACTAGAAGTTAAAATGTGTATTGTATTTTCTATAAATTAATACCCTTGTCTAATTCACACAAGTTTGAACATATTCTAAATTATCTTTAGAAATAATCGGCTACAATTTGTATGAACATCATCGACAAAATTAATTAAATATATATTTCATTTTAATATCAGCAAAACTAATGGATGTCGCATTTAAGTAGTTTCTTATTTTATTTTATTTTTCTGATTTATTTTTACCGATGAACATATGACGTAAAAGCTGATTTCTGTCGCCATTTTCCAATGTATATGTACAATTTAGCTTGATGTATAATAATCAATTTCTCATTAATATTAGCAAGGACGGGACGAAGGTGAAAATGTAGCTAGTTCCTCAGCGGAACACCGAATTTAAATAGATTTCTACTTCTATCCTTCATCGCATTAACTTTTAATGGAATAGCTGAAAGGAAAATTAGTAATAATGCTACAGCCCCTACAGGATATGAGCAATAAATTTAATTAAGGGGAAATCGGAAAGCGTAGAAAGTTCTGCTTCGTGATTCGTTTTTCACCATTACTTTCGTTTACGTCATCAAACTTTTATTACACTATTGATTCAGTTCATAAGATACAGCATATTGAATTCTTATTTTATATTTTATGGGAGAAAAAATAGTATTGGTCAGAAAATTTTATATAATTTTTATCATTTTTATCATCCTTCAGAAATTTTACTTTGATATTTAAGACATCCCTTTTAAAGGTTCAGAAACTGTATAAATAACCGTCAGGGAAAAAACAGATTATTCTAAAATATATTTGAATTTTGCACAAAAATGGTCTATTTATTTCTGTTTTCGTTTAATCAATAATTATCTAATAAGTTATAACTTAATGTAATCACTAAAACAGCCAATAAAACTGACTATCAAAGGACACAATAGACTTGAAATTTATTAATTTGGCTTCGAAAATGTATCGAGAAAGTATATTTACATAATGGAAAGACCTACGCTGTTACGAAACTTGAATTTAGGCGATGATAAAACTTAGATCGAGACTGATTTTATAGACAAATTAACACATTTGTGACAACTGAAGAAAGAGAAGACCGTTAATTTTGTTGCCTCATTGATAGCCACTCTTCGTAGTTAAAACTAATATCAAGTTAAGTTTGAATCTAATCAAAAGAAAAATCTGATTTGCATAAGTAAACCATACATTTATTAGGGCTAACATTTTTTCAGTAAATCAGAGAACGTTTTCTCGGGGATTTGAAATATCCTTGTAGAATTTTCATTCTTTGATCCTACGAAATTAAAATACCTCTCGGAAATTTCTGTAGGCAACATTCTTTCATAAAATTTAATAGATATGTAATAACTTCCGAATGCGGACAAGCTAACTCAGTGTGAAGGTATGCGTGTTATACAAATTAATAACATGTTGCTGTAGTACAGTTAAATGTTGTTTGCATACCATAGTATAAAATATTTGCCAAACACTGGTTCAATCTGAAACTATCTTTAGACAGAAAAAAAATTCTACGGCAAGTTGACACAGTCTACAGCAATTAATGTTGAAGGTAATGATGTTATCAGGACGAGAAAAACTACTGATATCGATATTGGTATAAGAGAAAACAGCAGCAATGATATCGATGAATTTTGAAAAGAAACAAAAAAGGAAGTGAAGGAAATTATTAAAATAATATTTAGATGTATTTGTAAATGTATTATAAGTTACATAAACTAAGTAATTGAAGGTTTGTATGTTACTAAAAATTCTAGAAATGTAAGGAATCAATGGTCCTCAAATTATGTTCCACAGAAATCTGGAATTCCACAAATCACAAAATGCAGAAATTGTTTTATATACAGAGTGGACTGCAAAGCTGAAGATCTAAAGTAATGGATTAAGCAATGCTTTTCTATTTCAGTTTTTAATGCTACATAAAAACAATATGACGTAGATCTGATCTTACATTCAACATTACGTTAAAGAATAATTTTGCTTTCCATTTTCTCATAAAGTACACGCAATAATAATATAATTCCAATGTTTTCTAACACTTTTCTGATGATGGCAAGGGTTTTAAAAATATATGGCGGAGTTACGGATTTTGTAAGCTGACAATGTTTAAAGACTAGGTCTACATATAGAGGTTGTACCATTCAGACTTTGCAATTCCGCATAAAGAGATTCTTTGGTCAGAGTGTGTAGAGAATTATGAAAAACCTACCTATAGCTTTCGAGAATGTGCGAAAGGAAAGTGAACCCATCATTTCAAGTGTAAGGAAAATAACCTTTATTGGAAACACAAAAATACAGAGCGAATGAGAGTGAAATAAACATGTAATTTACCTTAAATTATGCTTGTGAAAGGAGAAAAATTTACATACTAAGCGTCTGAGATAAGTGCATTTCTGTTATTTTAGATAAACTATCGTCTTTCAGCTTATATAAGATGGTGGGAACTGAAAGCTATCGGACACAGATCGTGAGCATGGTGGCATGTACTTTATCTTAGAACAGCGCAAGGGTAATTATTTACGAATTTAGAAGTAATATGCTCGTCTTTGTCCATCACTTCGTTATCCCGATGGTTTCTATGAATGGCTATGTAAAGAACAAGAAGCTGTTAATACTTTCATTGCACATAACTGACATAATTTATAACAATTACAACATTCATGTATAGTGCCGATGTTTATGTTCTTAATAAAACTTATTTTCTGTGTACTGGCAATGATGTATTTTTTGCACCTTTTTATCGAAAACAACTGATTTTAAAGGTATAACTCTCGGGTCATTTTTTTGCTGAGGAATCTCGCGCCGCAGCGTTTATGCAGTCTTGATAGGTTATCCTGCAAAA